CCCCCCCCGGGGGGGGGGGGGGGGGGGGGCGCGGCGGCGGGAGCCACAAAGGCAGCAGCCAAAGGGGACGCAGCAGCAACAGCAGCAAGGCAGCAGCAGCGCGAGCAGAAACAGCAGCAGCAGCAGCAGCAGCAGCAGCAGCAGCAGCAGCAGCAAGAGAGGCAAAGAATACGGGGGGAAGCAGTTTGAATTAGTTCGGGTTCAAAGGAAACAAGGAGAAAACAAGAAAGTAAAAAAAAGAAACTGGAAATCAAAAAGAACCAAAGAAATAACCCTAAACCCCAAACCCTAAACCCTAAACCCTAAACCCTTACAGCAGCACTTCGGGGGCAGTGTACATGGGGGTGCCGCAGATGGAGCGCAGCAAAGAGCTGGTGGGTCTTTGGAGGGTTTGGGGAACTGCGGGGGAGGTTTGGCTTTCCGCTGCTCGCAAACCCTAAACCCTAAACCCTAAACCCTAAACCCTAAACCCTAAACCCTAAACCCTAGGCCCTCACAACGAGGCCCTCAGCAGGCGCCAGCGCCGCTGCTCTCTCGCAACCTCTGTCCACTCCTGCTGCGCCGCAAGCGTCCAGGGGTTAGGGTCTAGGGTCTAGGGTCTAGGGTTTAGGGTTTAGGGTTTAGGGTTTAGGGTTTAGGGTTTAGGGTTTAGGGTTTAGGGTTTACAGTTGTGGTCTTGCTGCTTCTCCGAGAGCTGCACTGAAGCGTCAGTGCTCAGAGTCGTGGAGGCGCAGCTCGGAGCAGCGCAGCTGCCCAGGCCTTCAGCCAAACCGCTGCAGCAGCAGCAGCAGCAGCAGCAGCAGCAGCAGCAGCAGCAGCAGGGGCAGCAGCAGAAGCAGGAGCAGGGGCAGCAGCAGCAGCAACAACAGCAACAGCAGCAGCAGGAGGAGGAGCAGCAGCAGGAGCGGGGCAGCAGCAACAGGGTCAGCAGCAGCAACAGGGGCAGCAGCAGCAACAGGGGCAGCAGCAGCAACCGCAGCAGCAACAACAGCAGCAACAGCAGCAGCAGGAGCAGCAGTAGGAGCAGCAACAGAAACAGGCGCACAAATAATCATAAACCCTAAACCCTAAACCGCTATAAACCCTCGTAAACCCTCATAAACCCTCGCAAATCCTCGCAAACCCTCAAACCCTCCAAACCCTCGAAACCCTCACAGATACTCCAAACCCTCATAAACCCTCGCAAACCCTCGCAAACCCCCCAAACCCTCGCAAACCCTCATAAACCCTCGCAAACCCTTGCAACCCCCAAACCCTCGCAAACACTCGCAAACCCTCAAACCCTTCCAAACCCTCGCAAACCCTCATAAACCCTCGAGCCCCCAAACCCTTGCAAACCCTCACAAACCCTCGAACCCCCAAACCCTTGCAAACCCTCACAAACCCTCGAAACCCCCAAACCCTCGCAAACCCTCGCAAACCCTCGCAAACCCTCGCAAACCCTCGCAAACCCTCGAAACCCCCAAACCCTCGCAAACCCTGGCAAGCCGTCGAAACTCCCAAACCCTCCCAAACCCTCGAAACCCCCAAACCCTCGAAACCCTCGAAACCCCCAAACCCTCGCAAACCCTCAAAAACCGCAAACCCTCACAAACCATCGAAACCCTCAAACCCTCGCAAACCCTCACAAACCCTCGAAACCCCCAAACCCTCACAAACCCTCGAAACCCCCAAACCCTCGAAACCCTCGAAACCCCCAAACCCCCAAACCCTCGAAACCCTCAAACCCTCGAAACCCTCAAACCCTCCAAACTCCCAAACCCTCGCAAACCCTCGAAACCCTCAAACCCTCGAAACCCCCAAACCCTCGAAACCCTCGAAACCCCCAAAACCTCACAAACCCTCGAAACCCCCAAACCCTCACAAACCCTCGAAACCCCCAAACTCTCGAAACCCCCAAACCCTCGAAACCCTCAAACCCTCGAAACCCTCAAACACTCGAAACCCCCAAACCCTCGCAAACCCTCTGAAACCCTCGAAACCCCCAAACCCTCGCAAACCCTCAAAACCCCCAAACCCCCAAACCCTCGAAACCCTCAAACCCTCGAAACCCTCAAACCCTCGAAACCCTCAAACCCCCAAACCCTCGAAACCCTCAAACCCTCGAAGGCGCTCACTTGTCTGCAAACCCTTCGAAAACGTGGGGGGCGAATCTGGCGAGTCCAAAATCGAGGAGTTTCAAATGGCCCTCGCGAGTGAAGGCAATGTTGTCGGGTTTGATGTCGCGGTGAATGAAGTGCAGCTGCAAACCCTAAACCCTAAACCCTAAACCCTAAACCCTAAACCCTAAACCCTAGCGCTGGAAGCTCTGGAAGGGAGGAGGCTGGCTGGACAGGAAATGCAGCAGTGAAGAACTAGCAACTTAAACCCTAATTGGCAAACCCTCGTAAACCCTCGCAAACCCTCGCAAACCCTCGTAAACCCTCGTAAACCCTCGCAAACCCTCGCAAACCCTCGCAAACCCTCGTAAACCCTCGTAAACCCCAGCAGACCCTAGTGAACCCTAGTAAACCCGAGTGAACCCTCGTAAACCCTCGCAGACCCTAGCAAACCCTCGTAAACCCTAATGAACCCTGGCAAACCCTAATAAACCCTAGCAGACCCTTGTAAACCCTAGCAAACCCTAGCAAACCCTAATGAGCTGGAGTAAACCCCCCGCTCGCAAACCCTCGTAGCCAGCAGCAAGTCCCGGTGAGGTGCAGCAAACCCTCGGAAGCAAGAGGCGCTGAGCAGCTCTGGGGGAGGCGGGGTCGCAAACCCTAATTTAGGGTTTGGAGCCGCTGATTTAGGGTTTGGCGGACCTTGTGGATCTCGCTAACTGCCAAGACCAACTGGGCCATGTAGACCTTCGCCGTCTTCTCCTCAAAACGCTGCTTTGCATGCATGTAATGCATTAAACTTCCTCCTTCTAAAAACTGCATGAGTTGGTACAAGTGGGGCCCCTCTTGCAGGGTTTGCTGCAGCAGCACCACGCCGCGGCTCCCGCTGCTGCTGCTGCTGCTGCTGCTGCTGCTGCTGCTGCTGCTGCTGCTGCTGCACAGCGCCAGGCAGTCCCGCTCCGCGAACTGACGCTCCCGCGATGAATTCCGGCTCACGCGCGATTTCGGCACCTGCGCAAACACTAAACCCTAAACCCTAAACCCTAAACCCCCAGCCCTAAACCCTAAACCCTAAACCCTAGCTCTAGGCGGACGCGCGGGACTAGTTGCGCTGCCTCGCGCTCTCGTGCAACACGCTCGCTAGTCAGTGCCTTCCACTCTAGGGTTTAGGGTCGAGGGTTTAGGGTTTAGGGTCTAGGGTTTACGGCCGAGGGTTTAGGGTCTAGGGTTTGGAGCCGAGGGTCTAGGGTTTAGGGTTTAGGGTTTGGTACCTGTTTAAGAGCAAACAATTCCTTCGTCGATTTCCGTTGCACCAAATACACCGAGCCGAACCCGCCACGTCCTAACGTCTGCAGCAGCAGCAGCAGCAGCAGCAGAAGCAGCAGCAGCAGCAGCAGCAGCAGCGGCAGCAGCAGCAGCAGCAGGCCTGAGATTCAAAACAAGGCAGGGCCTTGGAGCACTCTAAACAACAGCAGCAGCAGCAGCAGCCGGTGCAGCGAGTGCAAACCAGCGCGGCGCAAACTTCAGCAGCAGCAGCAGCAGCAGCAGCAGCAGCAGCAGCAGCAGCAGCAGCAGCAGCAGCAGCAGCAGCAGCAGACCTGCACGAAGGTGAAGTCTTTGATGGACAAAGGATGTCTCTTTATCATCAAATGAGTTTCAAGTGCTTCCCCGTAAGCAGCAGAAGAAGCAGAAAGAAACCGCAGCTGGTCGGGGGGGGACAGCCCGCTGGCCACCTCCAGCACCTGCAGCAGCAGCAGCAGCAGCAGCAGCAGCAGCAGCAGCAGCAGCAGCAGCAGCGGGAGCAGCGGCTGGGAGGGTGGCGTGGAGGCTGCAGCAGATGTGCTGCAGCAGCAATGGATGCAGCGGAAAACCCGCACGAGCCCAGCGGCAAGGAGGAGGGCAGCAGCAGCAGCAGCAGCAGCAGCAGCAGCAGCAAACATAGCAGCAGCAGAAGCGGGCACACTAGCAGCAAGCACAGCAGCAGCAGACACAGCAGCAGCAGCAGCAGCAGGCACGGCAGCAGGCACAGCAGCAGAAGGAGTATCTAAAGCAGCAGCAAAAAGGGCAGCAGCACCTCTGGCAGGGCCAGCAGCAGCCGCAGCAGCAACGACAGCAACGCAAACCCTAAACCCTAAACCCCAAACCCTAAACCCTAAACCCTCACATCTTCCACGATCTGCTGCCTCTGAGAATAGTCCCTCTCTATATCTTTCTTTCTTTGCAAAATTGTTTTTTTAAATTCCAAAACTCGATTTTGTCTTTCCTGGCTCAGATGCGGCGGCGCTTCCTGCTGCTGCAGCAGCAGCTGCTGCTGCAGCAGCAGCTGCCGCTGGGGCCCTGACACCTGCCGGCTGCCCTCGTGCTGCTGCTGCTGCTGCTGCTGCTGCTGCTGCTGCTGCACTTCGCGCTGCTTGGTACTTGGCCCAGACGCACGGCAGCAGAACACTGTGGTCCCGTACGGCTGCTTCTGCTGCTGCTGCTCCTGCTGCTGCTGCTGCTGCTGCTGCTGCTGCTGCTGCTGCTGCTGCTGTGGGTATTGCTGCGCCTCCATTAGGGGCGATTGGTCTTGCTGCGCTGCTGCAGCCAAACAAGCAGCTTCTGCTGCAGAGACTGTCCCTAAGAAAACAGCCCTCAGCAGTTTGCTGCTGGGGGGGGAAGCAGCAGCAGGCGTTGCTGCTGCTGCTGCTGCGTCTGCTGCAGCAGCAGTGGGTGCTGCTGCGAATTCTGCTGCTGCAGATGGAATGTCAGGCAGCTGTGGTTTCGACACTTGCTGCACGGGTTCGGCGGCTGCTGCTGCTGCTGCTGCTGCTGTTGCTGCCGGTGTTGCTGCTGCTGCTGCTGCTGCTGCTGCTGCTGGCGCTCCTGCTTCTGCTGCTGCCGCTGCTGGTGCTGCTGCTGCCT